TGCGGGCCATGCCGCGCCGTGCCCGCGTGGTGATCCGCCTGGCGCTGCGCGGCTGCGCCAACCGGCCGTCCTTCCTGCTCGTGGCGGCGCACAACTGGCGGGCGCGCGACGGGCCCTTCCTGGAGCAGCTCGGTTGCTACGACCCGCTGCCCAACGCGCATGGCGAGAAGATCGTGGGCATCAACGTGGAGCGGCTGCGCCACTGGCTCGGCGCCGGCGCATGCATCTCCCGGCCCGCCGAGAAGCTGCTGGGTAAGGCGGGCCAGGGGCTGGGGCTTGGAGCAGCCCCGCAGGGCCCTGGCTGCAGCACCCACCTGGCCTTGCTCTTGCAGGTCTGGCCGGGTTCTTCCCGCTGCACCCCATGACCATCACCCACGCCGAGCGGCTGCGGAAGGCCAGAGCCGCAGAGGCAGCGAGAGCCTCGGAGGCCCCCGCCACCCCTGAGGAAGACACGGAGGAGTGAGGAGAGGCCGAGGTGTGCCGGCGCTGGGAGAGGGGCTGGTGCCGCCCACAGACAATGCTGCAGCAGGAGCAGGGCTGCAGCACGTTTTGAGAATCAACAGAAAAGACCAAAGTGTTTTCTTTCCTTGTAGCCCATCCGACGTGCAGAAACCTTCTGCCGCTAGCACATGCTTAGGCTAAAGGACTTACCTGGATGCAAATGTTGTCACTGTCTCTACTTTAAGATCTGCTTCAGTTGTTGTTATTCTCTAGTTCCATTTCCATTGAGGTTAACAAAGGGAAACCTTTGTGTGCAGCAACACCATAAGTTTTGTAAAGGGTGGAATATGCATGTCAAAGCAGTAAAGGACTTACTCTTACTCCAGCAGAGAAACATGGTACTGTGAGCACATTTACACAAGACTTACCTGACATGACTAATTAGCTCTGCAGTAAATGTCTTGCATCTACATGTGCGCCCCTGCTAGGCCATGGGAAACTAATTAACTCCACAGAAGAACTTTTTTTTTTTTTTTACTTCTCAGGACTGCACATGTAGGCACCAGTGTGGCTGGCTAGGTCACAAGGGTGCTTCAGTGCAGGGGCTGCAGCTAACCCTGCACTGGAGCACTTTCATGCCCCAGCCAGCCCCCCTGCAACACGTTGAGCCATGCAGGAGCAGTCACAGGGTGGCAGGCTGACCCCCCAGGTCCCGCGCCAGCTGGGGCTGCTCTGACCAGTCCCAGGCACACACTTAAATGGTACACCCAGGAGAAATGAATTGGGGGGCATCAGAATTAACTGCTTTGTATTAATTGCATGTGTAGATGCAGCCAGTCTGTAGCAGCCTGCTTTATGGAAGCTGGCTGCCTTTCTCAGAATATCCTTCATGAAGTCAGCACTTCTGGTTAACAGGATTTCTGGTTTATCTTGACCCAGCTGAGTGGCAAATATCATTGGAAGCAGGAACATGGGGAAAGCAGAGAGGAAGTGGCAGGGGAGGAGGCTAGCTCTACTGGATAACTTGCCGGTTGTGCCCCTGCAGG